CACGAGCTCATTGACCTCGTGCCACTGCGCTTTGAGCACATCCACCGCAGGGATTGGAAGCACCCTGACGGCAGGCCGTGGGTGCCACATCATCCCCACCCACGCGAAACGGCGCTTCACAACCCCGATCCCGATGGATTCTGCAGGGATTGTCACACGCCGACAACCTCAACGAGCGCGATCGCAGGCCGCGGACTCGCCGCCATCGCTGAAGCAGAGCACAACGCGCCGCCTGAGGAAGGCATGTCGCAGCTCGAACTTGAAATTGCTACCCACGGTGTTTTCGGCACGAAGGAACATCCCCTTATCGGTCCCCCCTCACAGCACCTGCAAGGCATGCTGCGCGGAACAGGGGTCGGGACCTTCGATGCACTTGGGGAGCCGCGCCCCTACACCTACGAGAAATTTCTGGAGGTCTACTCGACTCGGCGCGACCCGAAGCAGAAACTTACCGTGGAGCAAGAGGAAGAACTGGCGCGCCGCGAAGCCGAGGAGCTTCGCCAGCAAAGCCTCGCGGAAGCACGCGGGACCTTCGCTTGCGCCGCCTGGGGAGCCGAGGAGGAAGCGGAAGAGAGTGCCTCCAATGAAGGGGGGTGGGGAAGCGCTGGAGGATGGGGAACAAGCGACACCGGCGGATGGGGAGACAACGCCGGAACCTGGGCCAACGCGAGCGGCGGATGGGGCACCGCATCTGGAGCCGGCAATAGCGGCTGGGGCACTTCCCGCGAAGAACGAAGGGGGGAAGAGGAAGAAGCCGCGGAAACCGAAGCAGCACCTGCAGTCGTTCCTCTCGGTCGTCCCCCGCGCCACATCCCGCTCGCACCACCTCCCACAGACATTCCCCCGCATCGCGACCCGTGGGACACCATTATTTGGGGCAACGAGCCGTCAACCCCGCGTCGCACTGTCTACGGACCTGCCCCTGAACCACGCCAACCTACCCTTGTCCCTGGAACCATCCCTGGGACTAACATCCCGCTCTCTGAAATTCGCGACAGAGAGTTCTTGGCGCTGATGCTGACTACCGCGGCAGAAGAAGAAGAAGTAGAAGAAGTAGCAGCAGAACCTGCTCCTGTACCTGACGAAGACCCTGAGGAAGCACGCGCGCGCTATATGCGCACCTCCGGCTTTCGCGCTGATGATGCACTCTGGCACCAGCGCCTCGGACACCCTTCCCGCGCGACGCTGAAAAACTGCATCGACGCTGGCGTCTTCGCTCCTGGCGCACTCCTGCGCCCTGATGGCTCCGAAGTGAGTGGCGCGACACATCCGCGCAACTGCACCGTCTGCCCCGAAGCTGCGCTGAGCCACCAACCGTTCCCGCTGCTCGAACCTGGAACCAACCGCTACCCCAAGCTGCACAAAGTGTACAGCGATTTCCTGAACGTGGGATATTGCGGAGTCGAGGATGAGCTATACACACTCACCTTCATCGACGCTGGAACGCGCTACGTGTGGGTCGTGAACGTGGAGTCGCGCGACAGAGCCTACGAGGTATTTCGCCTCTGGCTGCCGCATGCGGAGCGGCAATCTGGGAAGAAACTCAAGATCTGGCAATCTGACGGCGCGGCAGAATTCAGGAGCAATCAGATGCAGACATTCCTGACGCAAAAGGGGATCGAGCATCACATTTCTCTCCCCTACGCGCACCAGCAGCAGGGCGTAGCTGAGCGAACGAACCGCACGCTGATGACGAAGGTGCGGGCGCTGATGAAGCAGTCGAAGCTGCCGCCGATCTACTGGACTTACGCGATGCACCACGCCGTGCGGGTGCACAACCTCCTTTCAACCACCGCGATTACCGACAACTTGTCCCCGCACGTCAAGTCGACAGGAAACAAGGGGGACACCTCCATGCTCCGCGTGTGGGGGTGCATGGTGCAGTACCGCCCGCCGACATCAACCATCGGCAAATTCGCCAGCCGCGCGCGCTGGGGGATTCACCTCGGCATCAGCCACGAATACAAGGCGTGGACCGTGCTGGACCTCCTCAGCCAGAAGACCGTCCATGCCCGCGACGTAATCTTCTACGAACGTCTCTTCCTCGACCAGTTCCGCCGCGACCAAGAAACGAACGCAAATCGCGTTTACGCCAATAACGGCCACAGCTATGCCACGCCTGAAGACGAAGCCGCTGCAGCAATTCTGGAGCAGGACACAAGGGGAGAATTCACGTGGGAGAATCGGCGCAGCAGCAACGACGACGACGACGACGATAACTCCTCGGGAGGAGGAGTAGGCGGAAGCGGTACAGGCGGAAGCGGCGAAGGCGCAGCACCACCAGCACCACCTGAACCTGAAAGCGATGACGACGACGTGCAGGAAGTCATCCCGCAACGTCGCCACGACAGCACCGTCTCGGGACTGCAGCTGCTCGGGCTTCACGCTGCAACCTCGAAAGCGCCGCGCGTCATCGAGCCCCGAAATCCGCGCGAGGCTCTCTCTGGACCACACAGCAAGGAGTGGCGCGAGGCGATGGACGCGGAGATCAAGGCACTAGAGTCACGCGACACCTGGGTGCTCGTCGACCGCGCAGCAATCAAGGGCGCAAGGATCCTCTCGGGGAAGTGGGTCTTCCGCGTGAAGACCGCAGCGGATGGGACGATCGAACGCTTCAAGGCGCGGTGGGTGGTTCGCGGCTACGATCAGAGGCACGATATCGACTTCGACCAGACGTTCGCCCCGGTTAGCCGTCACACCTCCGTCCGCATCCTGCTCGCCATCGCAGCCGCAAGGCACTTACCACTCCGCCAAATCGAAGTGAAGAACGCGTTCCTGTACGCGTTAGTAGATGCCGTGATCTACGTGGAGCAGCCACACACCTACGGCGAAGGAGACGCGCGCGTGTGTCAATTGCTGAAGTCACTCTACGGCATCAAACAGGCACCGAGGCTGTGGCAGCAGTACCTGCACAACATCCTGCTTGAAATCGGGTTCAAGCAGATGCCGCACGATCCAGGGATGTACCGCCGCGACTTCCGCGGCGAATACATTCTCCTCACGGTGTACGTCGACGACCTGCTTTACACAGGCTCAAACAACGAGCTTCTCGAGCAGTTCGAGAAGGCCTTGGCGGGGCGCGTCGACATCACGTGCAACTACGAGGTGAAGCAGTTCCTAGGCCTCAACATCTCCTACGCTCCTGAGGCCATTCACCTTTCAGCGGCTAAGTACGCAGAGGAGTTAGGGAAGCGGTTCAACATTTCACCGGCATCTCTCTCAACTCCCTATCGCACCCCCGGACCGAACCACAAACCTGACAACAAAGCCCTATCCCCTGCTGGGATTCAGACTTACCAGCAGCAGCTGGGATGCCTTCTCTTCGCCTCTGTCACCTGCAGGCCAGACCTCTCGTACATCGCTAGTTAGTTGGCGCAGTACTCACGCAAACCAACGGCTGAGAATCATCTGGACCTGCAGCGCGCTCTTCAATTCTTCGTTTCAACGCCCAAGATTGGGCTGTGCTACTCAACTGCACCAACTCCATCCTTCAACCTCGTCGGCTACGTGGACGCCGATCACGCAGCAGACCCTGATAATCGACGGTCCAGGACTGGCTTCCTGTTCCGACTCGAGCCATCAGGACCAATCTCCTGGAATTCACAGAAGCAGGAATTGGTTGCCCTGTCATCTGCCGAAGCGGAATTCATCGCAGCAACCGCAGCAGTTCGCGAGGGCCTCTACCTGCAGGAACTCCTGCAAGAGGCGAAAATTCCGACTTCGCCGACCTTCCGCCTCCACTGTGACAACCAGAGTAAGATTCGTATCGCGAACAAACCTGGTTTCGTCAACCGCACCAAGCACATCGCGCTGCGGTACTTCTTCGTGAAGGACGAGGTGGACAAGGGCAAGGTCAACTTGACCTACTGCCCGACCGGTGACATGGCAGCAGACTTCCTCACGAAGCGACTGCCACGCCAGCAGTATCAGCACTGCTCCGAACTCAGCGGCGTGGTCAAACAGGTCAAGTCGAGCTACGGCCAGGAGTGAAGGGGGGTGTTACGAATAGTAATACTTGATATTACTGTGCACTCCTCACCGCAGCTAAAGAAGCACGCAGTAACGGGAATGAACGCGAACCGTCAGACAGTTGGAATCGAACCGAAGAGTCAGACGGTTACAGCGCATCTGGACCGTCGGAGCAGACGACATCGGGCAGCTGCAGGCAAGGTGGTTTTGGCGGGAACAGTTACGAAACTGTACGCGCCGCACGGTTGGGAATGCATTTGAATAAGGGAATGTACCCCTTAGAGTACATGGCTAGTTAGATCGTATCGTATTCCCTTGTACTCTTATTTATATCATCTTGTTTGCATGTTTTATTATCTCAAGCATTTTATATTCACTCTGCTATTGAGATCAAGGGCCCACCAACTATTTCACTGCGTGCGAACCTTCCTGGGTAGATCCTGGGCTACGATCAATTTCTGATCGCAGCACTACTTATCCAGAACGCGTCAGTAAGGGGAAGTTCGGTACCATAAATGTTAAAAAAACTACGGTAACAAGATTGGGAAGTGTACCAAATGTTAGGGTTCCTAGCATTTAATTTGAGCGTAATGCTTTCTTCTCATATATCGCGAAATTTCTGGCATCCATAATATATTTGATGTGGTGGTTTCGTAATTATATGATGAATTTCTGTTTATACCGTAAGTAAAAGATTTCGAACTAGCATACATTTTTGTCTCATGTACACTGTACGGAACATTTATTTTGGAAACACTATATTATTTGCATTCGTCAAACACTCTATCGCGGAAATATTTGGCGGGAAATCTTTTTGCTCCCTCTTTGCGGGGGGGTTGCAAGCACGCGCAATCCCTGCTGTGTGTCAGATGTACTTGATCTGTTCCAGGGTTGCAGCGAGCATTGTACCTAGAGTCCCCGCACAATCTTTGTTTTGAAGATACCTAGGCATAGTTGCACTTTTGGCGATTTCGGGTGCTCCAATATTTTGTTGAGTTATAGGCGATGCAAGAGTGAGATTCATGGAGGAGATGACCTACGGAAAACCAGTGGATGAGGTACTAGCGGAGGAAATCCTGACAGAGGAAATTTTGACGGAGGAGGTCCTAGCGGAGGAGACGTTAACAGAGGAGATTCTAACGGTGGATGGCGTGTTACAGAAGTACGTGGGCGAGCTAGGCCCTTGTCAGATCCGCCATGCCGTGGTGGTGGCATGTGCGTGGTCCCTGGAGGCGCTGTTCACCTTCGTCATCATCTTCACAGGTGCGCTCCCACCTCTTCTTCTCTCTCTCAATCCCGTTGCTCTGCCTCAAGCCTCCGTTTTCCCCACACCCGCTTCCTCCCTCACCTCTGTCCGCCCAACCTTCCCTTCACTTTCTGTTTGACCACCCACACCGCTTTACATCTTGGCAACACACCATCGAGCAATTATCAAATTTCCTCTCTCATTCTTCCTCACCAATCAGAGCGCATGCCAGCATGGCACTGCACAGCGCCCTCCTGCTTCGGGAAGACTCTCTGCCAGGTGGACGTCGAGCAGCAGCGTGCCACGTGGCACCCGCAGGCCGGCCAACAGGAGAACGCCACGTGGCAATGGTCAGAGCCAGCGAGCGTATCAGTGGTGTCGGAGTGGGGTCTCATCTGTGGGCAACAGGCGGTGCTAGCGTGGATCGACTCGGGCTACTTCATGGGTTATTGCGCCGGTGTGTTCCATCCACCATCCACCTTGCACCCTGCCTTTGAAAAGCACATCGAGTGCGTTTCTGCACCGTTGAGTTTATTGTAAAACGTTCAAAACCATACACCAAAATCTGAGCCTAAGCTTGAAAGCCAAAACTCACAACCGCCTATTCTTCCATGGAAACTATTTTAGGAAGGACATGTGTGCTGTTGGAGCTATGTGATGAGTGCGTGTATATTATATCATTACATAAAGTATCTCCAAGTATTAGGGGCCGAGCACCAACGCCCAGCTGTCGTGCTTGTCCCTCCTCCTCAGCCCCCCTCATCATTCCCCACTCCTCGTGATCGTTCCTCTCCTCTCCCGTCTCCCCTCCCGCCTCCCCCCTCTCTCCCCCTTTCCCCCATCTCTCCATACCCCAGGTTCCTGCTTCTTCGCATTCCTCTCCGACGGCCCTCTGGGTCGCAAGCGCACGCTGCTCCTCGCATCCCTCCTCGCCTCCCTCCTCACAGCTCTCACCGCCTTCACCCCCTCCCCTCGCTCCTACGCTCTCCTCCGCCTGCTCACGGGCATAGCCACATCTGGCCTGGGCAACACGTGCTACGTCCTAGCAGCAGAGCTCATCGGGCCAAGCTACAGAGGGCCCGCGTCCATGCTCGTGAACCTCGCGTATCCCCTGGGTCAGATGCTGCTGCCTGTGCTCGCCGCGCTTGCCACTGCGGTGAGCCTGGATGAGGCCGAAGCAGTGCGGCAGGGGCAAAAGGAGGCGCTGCTAGGGGGTGTGACCGTGGGACCTGTGGTTGCTGCTGGGTCAGCGCCTGTGCTGCACGCACCACCGGCAGGGTGGGATGTGGGCGGTGCACCACAGGCATCTCTTGCCCCATCTTGGCGTCGCCTGTATTTGTTTTCCGGGGTGGGAGTTGGCGGCATATACTGTGTGCTCCTCCTCCTCCCGCCGCTGCTGCTCACTGTCCGCCCAACCGTCTCCCATCACATGGCACATTTTGTGGGCTTTCTGGCCGGAAAAGCTGGGTACCCGGCTTCTGGTGCGGGCATTGCAGGTGGGGATATTGCGGGTGTGAAAAGTCAAGGAAGTAATCGTCTTATAGTGCCCCGGACAGAGGAGGAGCAGGGCACGAGCAGTGCAGGAGTGATCATGCAAGCAGCACAGGAAGTGCCCCATGGAGAGGGGAGGAGAGAGGGGTGCACAGCAAAGGCGGAGGAAGAGGCACCAGTGGCACGGACGGGGGTGGAAGGAGGGGAGAGCAGGGCAGTGATGCACGCAGCTCACGTAGTTGTGAGGCGTCACAGGGCACAGGGGGCGGCTTGGAAAGAGCTTGTGTCGGTGACATGGGTGTGTGAGTCACCTAGATGGCTGCTGGAGAGGGGAGGAGACGGGGGAGCACTGCAGGTGTTGCAGGACTTGGCGAAGGGGAACGGCAGGGTGATTCCTGCGGGAGTGGTGCTGGTTCCTGATTTTCGGGCAGCTGCAAACTGTACTGGTTGCCGGGCAATTGAGAGTTGTAACGAGTTTAGGGTAATTGAAACTTGTGGTGAGAAGTGTATCGATCTTTCAGCAGCTGGAAATTGTGTTGATCCCTGGGCAGCTGCTAGTGAGGTGGTGGCAAGTCAGCAGCTTCAAGAAGCATTGGAGAGTATAAACGGAGGAGGAGGAGGAGGAGGAGGAGGAGGAGGAGGAGGAGGAGGAGGAGGAGGAGGAGGAGGAGGAGGAGGAGGAGGAGGAGGAGGAGGAGGAGGAGGAGGAGGAGGAGTAGGAGGAGGAGGAGGAGGAACAGGTGCAGGTACAAGTGGGGGAGGGATTGCTTGTGAAGGTGCAATCGCAGCAAGTAAGGGTGGTGGTGGCGAAGGTTCATTCACTGAATTTTGCGTAACTGGTGCAGGTTCACCTGGTGGTTGCGTTGCTTCCCATCCTCCCAGCACAGGCGGTGCAGCAGGTAGCACAGGCGGAGGAGGTGCAGGCAAGGTTGGGGGCTTGCAGGAGCTGCTATCGTCCCGTGCTCACGTGCACCGGTTGTGCCTGATGCTGCTGCTGTTCCTCACCTCGTCCTCTCTCTACAACGGCCTCACCCTCAACACCGCCAACCTCGCCACTGCTCTTGCAGAACAACTCGCAGCAGCAGGCAGCGACGGCAGCAACGGCAACAGCACCCCCACGAGCAGCCACAATCCCACGAGCAACAGCACGAGCAGCAGCACGAGCAGCAGCACGAGCAGCATCACGAGCAGCATCACGAGCAGCATCACGAGCAGCATCACGAGCAGCATCATGAGCAGCAGCAGTCCCATGAGCAGCATTGCAGCAGCGACATACCTGGTGGCAGTGGTGCAGGTGCCCTCCATCCTGCTCTCCGGCTGCCTCATCAACCGCGTGGGGCGGCGCCGCCTCGTCAGCTGCTCGCTTATACTGGGCAGCCTGCTGTGTGTTGTTGGGGGGACGGTGCTGCTAGCGCAGGGGGCAGGGGGGGGCGGAGGGGGGTTGCTGGTGGTGCAGGGGGGAGCGGAAGGGGGTGTGCTGGTGCAGGGAAATAGAGGAGGGAGTGGCAGCGACAGGGACGGCAGCAGGGGAATCAGCAGCGCAGGCAGGAGAGAGCTGTTGGGAGCAGGGGGGGCAGAGGGCGAGAGTGGTATGAGTGATGGAGGGAAGAGGAGGAATGGTAGAAAGGACATGCATGGTTTGGAACTGGGGGACCTTCCGCTGTTGGTGGTGGCAGAAGGAGGCCGTGGAAGTGCGAGCAAGGATTCTTTCGGTTTGGAGCTAGTGCACGGGCCACGTGTGCAGACAGAGGCTCATGTACAGTCACACGCTCATGTACAGTCACACTCACATGTACAGTCACCCTCACATGTACAGTCACACTCACATGTACAGTCACACTCACATGTACAGTCACACTCACATGTACAGTCACAGTCACAGGTAGAGTCAAACTCCATCTTCCCCTTCATCCCCCCTCTCTGCTCCCTCCTCGCCCTCTTTTGTATCACATCCTCTTTCTCCTCTGCATATGTGCTTCAGGTAGAGCTCTTCCCCACCTCCATCCGCCACTTGTCTCTCGCTATAGTCACACAGGCAGGTCAAGTCGCTACAGTGCTTGTACCCCATATAGTGCTCCTCGGTCGCACCTCCCCTAGTTACCCCCTGTTGATCTTTGGGCTACAGGGGATGGTTACAGGCGTGTTGTGTCTGTTACTTCTGCCTGAACCAGGGAAAGGAGAGGTTCTATCGGTAAGTGACACATAATCCGATTCTTCATGTAACAATACTTAACTTGCCATCTGTGTGCGATATCTTCATTTCAACAGTTGGCAGTACTGAGCATCTGTGTTGTTTCAGGGGGTCGGGTTCACAGGTGCTGTGCAGGAGGGCACACTAGGCGCGGTGGAATCAAATGATTCTTGTTAGCCGTCCACACTAGCTGCGCCTTCACTGGGAGCACAGGTGCCCTGGCCTCTCACACATGCAGAACTTGCTTTCTTAGCATATAAAACCTCAGGGTAATAAGAAAACCGTTGAAACAAACAAGTGCACAAGTTCATGATCCAGGTTAAATATTAACCCACCCACTAACATGTCCGCGGCACTATCAGGAACTAACTAAAGGCTTCTTGAGCAAGAGCAACTTGTGCTGCACTGGGACAGAAGCTAGAGAAGTACCAGTAAGAAGAAAGAGGCACGGCAGTTAGCGCAACCTGGTTGTATCGGGTTAGCCACCAAGGAGGCACAGAGCCATGTGCCATCCGCAATTGCTGAGTGTCTCCCTTCAGGCAAAGGAAAGGTAGAAGCTCACGAAGGGAGTATGCTCGTATCAAAGAATGGGAGTGTGTTGACTCCTGCTATCCCTGATTTTCCGCTTCACTGCTTTCCCGCCTTCCCCGCCCTCCTGCTTCCCTTCCCTGCTGAACCACACCTTCCTGCGAGCTCAGCCTCCCACCATTGCTGTCCCCTTGGGATCATCGTTCCCTCTCCTCCTCCAGTGCTCACGCACCCACTCCCCCCCCAAGGATCACCTCCTCCCTCCCTGCCTCTCAAGCCGTCCCAATCCTAATGTCCTTATACTTGGCGAAATAAGGCACGTCAACGCCGCTATACGGGCCCGACCACCCGCCGTTGACCACCCAACTGGCATTCCACATGGAACCATACACATACATGGGCTTCACAGGATACGCATCCGACTGGCTAGATAACGCCTCCCTCACAAGCGTCCCGTCCACATACCACCGGATCTTCTCCTTGGTCCAGGAGAGCGTGTAGTTGTGGTAGCCGTCGGAGCAGTCGAAGGCGAGCGGCACGAGCAGCTCGCGGCCGCCCCCCCCGTTGACGTAGAAGTTGGTCTGCACGGCGCGCGGGTTCTTGCCCAGCCACTCGAAGTCTATCTCGTCCTGGAACCTGCTGCCTTCTTCGGAGGACAGCTGCAAGAAAGGGAGGGGCGCGGGTGGGGAGAGAGGGGAGAGAAGGTGGTACGTGAGTTTGAGTAAGCAGAGTTGGTCGGCGCGGCGCGGTACCTGACCTTATGTGTTGTATGTGTTCTCGGGTTGGAGGGCGAGGAGAATGCGTGTGCAGCTTGGCATGAGGGAGGGCCAGACAGGTGAGGAGCAGCGTCAGCACGGAGAAGGGCACGAGGGAGCGAGAGAGACAGAGAGGAACGACACAAGCAGCCCCTTCCCCCTCCCCATCTCCTCAGCACTCACATAGAAGGCGGACACGAGTCCGGACGCGTTCCCGCGCGGGCACTGGTAGAGCGCGGAGAAAATCCCGCTGAAGTAGCGCAGCGTGGAGTGGAAGCGCCCGCCGCACCCCGTGCCGTCGAACCGGATTGACTGATACCCCCTCTGCGTCTCCACGTGCGTCGAGCAGTAGTCGATCGCCACCGGCCACATGGCTCCGCGTCCCATCACCCGCCCCTTCGGGCGTGTCTCTAACGGAGCGCCTAGTAGCGGGTCTAAGGGAAGGTTGAAGTTGAGGGACGGCGCGGGGGCGAGCGCGGTGGGCGCGGCGTAGGTGGCGGAGAAGGGGAGCGCGGAGGAGCGGAGGTATCCGGCTTGCCAGGCGTAGGGGTAGGGGGAAGTGTCGTAGAGCGAGGCGTAGAGGAACATGGTGGTGGAGAGCGGGAAGGGCGAGAGCATGTCGCGCGATAGCACGCGCAATACCTGGTTGTCGTACATCCATCTGCGGAGAGGGAGAGGGGATGTGGGAGACGCGGCGCGAGAAGGGGAGGAGAGCGAGAGAGAGTGGGTGAGAGGGATGAAGAAACAGGTGTGAGGATGCGAATGGAAAAGGCCCGTTCCTGGGAAACGCAGAGGCAAAAGGAGCACGAGTAACGCAACCGAGGCGCTAAATAGCAATCTTGCCCGTCAACCCCCTTCCCCGTCTTTCCCCTCTTTTCACGCCTTTCCCCGCTCCCCCTTACACGTCTGCCTCTCCCCCTTCCTCCCCCCCTCCCACCCCCTTCCCCACCTCCCCCGCCCCCCTTTTTTCCACCCCGTTCCCCCTTCTCTCTCTCTCTCTCTCTCTCTCTCTCTCTCTCTCTCTCTCTCTCTCTCTCTCTCTCTCTCTCTCTCTCTCTCTCTCTCTCTCTCTCTCTCTCTCTCTCTCTCTGTCGCACACACGCACATGATGAGCTGTTTGCTCCACATGATGGTGATGTTATGGAAGCCCACGGAGCAGTCGTCGCCCACTTCCACCTCCTGCGCGCTGCCCGGCACGCCGTCCACGATCACCATGCACCGCACGCGCGTGCGCGCGTTGCCGAACACGCTCATCACGATCGCGTCCGTCCCCGGACCGCCCTCCACCGTCGACAGCTGCGGATGACGGTACGCGGGGTCGAGAGAGGGGGTTGAAGGAGCGGGGGGAATGGGGGAATGGGGGGAATGAGTGTGCGGGAGTGTGTGGGATTGTCAGAGAGTGGGAACCTGAGTTGAGAAGGGACGGCTGGGGGAGGGCTGCGCTGCTCCCGTACTGCCACTACCCTCGAACCAGTCGATTCCGACAGCGATGGGGCACGGCCTTCGGTGTTAGTGTGCTAGTCGAGCGTGCTAGTAACAGCAACGGTAATTTTCTGATTCGAAGGAAACGAGGCACAGCAGCGTGGCGCACGGGGCGTGGCGGTCTCACATAGAAGGTGGTGTCGAGCCCGCTCGCCTGCCCCTGCGGACACTGCAGGCGCGCGGAGAACACCCCCGAGGGGAAGGCCAGCGCGGAGTGGATGCGCGCGCCTGAACGCACAGGTGTAAGGGAGGGGGAGGGGAAGGAGAAGGGGAAGGGGAGGGGGAAGGGAAGGGGAGGGGGAAGGGGGAAGGAGAAAGGGGAGAGAAGGGCGGGAGGGGGAACGGTGAGGCATGGCGATGAGATGGGGCACAACGGCGGATAGGCCAAGAGGGTCTAGTGACAGGAAAACTATGTCTGCCACGAAGGCTGGATCCTCTTGGGCTGCTTACCTAAGAATAGATGTGCGAGTGGCGAGAGAGAAATTCGGGCAATAGCGCATTCGACTTACCGAGCGTGCCGTTGAAAGTCAGCGTCGTTACGTCATTGGGGAGCGTGGTAACCAGCTCCTCGCCGTAATCCATGACGAAATCCACGATGCTCGTCGCGCGCGTCGGCGGCTTTTCCATGACCTCCTGCAACCCCTGGTGCGCCTCCGGCCCCACAATTCCGCGCGACATTCCCCGCGCGCCGCTCACGCGCTTCAGCGTCTGTCCGACGGCGCTCAGGCGAATAACCACGTTTTCCAACTCCTGAAAGCTGTCGCTGTACTCGTCGCCGCTGTCGGCGAGAATCGTCGCAGCCGTCGCAGCAGTCGTGAAGGCGACCTGGTCGAGTGCAGACAATGATCGCACGAAATCGCCAACGTCGCTGCTGCTGCCACCGCCCAGGTTCGTGCCTTGTGTCGTCGCCGTCTTGAGCTCGTAACCATGAGCTTTGGGCGCGCCGTTACTGCTTCGCTTTGCGATAACGCTCCCGACGTCTCGCTGACACTCGACAACGGCCTTGGCGAGGGGCACCGTCTGCTTGCGCGCGTGTGCGACGTCGCCCTTGCGAATAAATCTGTTAACCTTCTTAAACTGCGAAATGGCGAACTTGAGCGTGCGACGGCAAAGTGGCGACGCAATGAACATACTGCGTCGGACCATGCGAATGGAGCGAAGCGACAGCGTCAGCTGGTAACGCAGCTGGCCAGTTGACTTGGCAGCGTATGCGTTTTGAATAATGTCATCCACTTCTCGCCTACGTGGCGCCGTGGCAGCCTGAATCTGCGCCATTAGCGGCCCGCCGTTTGGAAGCCCGTTGGAGAGAGGGTCAATGTAGTGATGGTCGCCGGCGGAACACCCTTCACCAGTCGCCATGTTACAACCACCGGCCCGCGGCGCGTTGATGATGCGTTGGAGACTGGTTAGCATGCTCGCGCTGCTGCGCATGCTGTGATTCGTTCCTCGTTTGAAAGGGTCGCCGTGAATGCCGGAATCGTGCTTGCCGCGTCCGCTTCTCACGCTGCCAGAGCCCTTGTTGTCGTTCCCCTTCCTCTTGGGATCTTTGGCCTTGCGGGCCGCGCTCCGCTTGCCTTTCTTGTTCTTCTTCCCGCGCCGTGGCCGCGCGGCGTTGCGGGATGGAGGCCCCGCGCTCCCCAGTCTTTCGCGGACCTGGAGCGCTCCTGACGCGCGCGGCGCGATGGCGGAGACAGAGCGGTCAGATTTGCCATGAGTGACGGCCAGAGAGTGTGAAAGGGAAGATAATGCGAGAAGGGTTACGAGGAGAAAGAGGTGGAGAGAGGAGCGTGGGAGGAGGGAGAAGAGTGACGAAGCGCGGCGAGTGAAGAGGAAACAACATGAACGGGGTGAAGAGTAGGAGCAGGGGTGAAGTGACGCCTTGAGAGTTTTCTCTGAAGGATCATGGGAGGGAGACTTGTGGCGGCACGGCGGAGCAGCCATCGCAGCACCTGTGACTTGGCGGAGTTTATGCTTCTGTTTCACGACTGCACTGAAATCATCGGCCAGACGAAGTGTATTTTCTCAAGCTAGGCCTCTATCGACGAAGGAATCAAACTGAACTATATGAGACGACTAGGGTGGAGCAAGGCCGGAGACACAACAATCAAGGCAGGTCAGGCGCGACCTACGCTAGTCCCAGAATGTTGAAGGAAATTCGCCCCGTGGGCAATGGTTGGGGAGGGGAGGTGGTATTGCAGCGCGCACGGGTGATGATGCTGGGAAGCGAAAATTAGTCCCGAGCTCGAGGCGCAAATTGGAAATGGATTTTTTGAATTCACGCGCCCTGACCCCGCAGTCAGGGATTTGCGAGCCACACAGTTTCGCGAGCATGACGAAGATTGTTGTCGCGAATGGCGACCGTTGGTTCCTCAGCACAGCACACCAAGGGAGTGATCGAATCGGAAACGGTCACAGCTTGACCAATATCTTTGTGGTTAGATGGTTGGAAAATGCGGTTGAAAAAGGTTTGGACCTAATCGGAGCAGTCTAGTAAGAACATAAAATGGTTGGGTTTGGGTTTCCTAGGAGAACAGACATTCTTGGATTGGCCCTTACATAAACTTGGAATGTTGAACAAAGGGATACCAGCTTCTACTGACCATATCATGCATAAGATGCAGGGAAAATGCGAGGACACATACCATCCAAAGCTGGTTCATATTGGGATAAATGAGGCTCACTAACACTACGTGAAGTCCCAGCCAACAGCGAAGTCTGAAAATCATGGGAAGCGATGGGCTTGTCCACACTTGTTCTTGCCGTGTTATTCTCGTTCTGCTGCTGTAGCCACCCACCGGGGCATAGGACCGGCAGAAATTGCACATGAGGCTAGCCTGTGTGCTGTGTACCTTTTGAAAGCACGCACTACATTAGCTTCAACTCAAGCTCGTGAAGAAAGGCGTTTCAGGAGAGTCGGGCCAACGCGTGTGATGTCACCTGGTGGAGCACACAACCAGAGCACAGCATGCAGCAGAAGGTGCAGAAATGAGGTTCATGCAAGAATGTCATGGCACGTAGAAAGAGACAGGCTGTCAAGGTGCTGCAAACTGGTGTGACATCCAGGATCAGGAATGCAGGGCCAGCTCATGCACTGTCATCATGATTGTTGCAGACGAGGGCAGTGAGGGTGTGATCAGGTAAACTTTGGAGGAGAAAGGTATGGTGTGGGGCATCATGCGATAGCATTGGATGTGTGGTGGAGCATGGGAGGGAAGAAGAGGAGCGGAGAGGAGACCGGTGGAGTGGAGTGCAGGGCTGACCTGCTCCGAGTGTCATGATGACCACGTCCTGCGCCTTGAGCCCGTGCCGGCCCCCCGCTATGCTCACTGCGTCCCACAACGGCCCCTCCCATTTCCCACCCTCGCTGCTGCCCGCACTGCTGCCACCGCTGCTGCTGCTGCTGCTGCTGCTGTCGCCTATAACACCACTGCCATCTGTGGTGCTGGCAGTGGTGCTTGTGCTGCCTGTGGTGGCGGTGGCAGAGGCAGTGTCGGTGGCCAGGCATCGTGCCTTCACCTCCCACTCTAGCCGGTCAATCACATCGTCCTGCGGGTTGCATGCGATGGGGGTTGCATGCGATGGGGGTTGCATGCGATGGGGTTGCATGTTGCAAGCGATGGGGTTTGCGGGATGGGAGGTCAAAACGCGAGGGGCGAGAGACTGGATGCGGCATGTGTGAGCTGGTCGGCGGGAGGAAATGTTGCTAGGGAAGAAAGGTCAGAGAGACATCACAGTGAGTAGAGTACTGGCAAAAGAGAGTATGAGACATGAGATGCAGTGGAATGTAAGGAGAGGGGGGAATGTTAGTGAGATGTAAGATGAGGTGGAAGCAGTGAGGCGGGGCGAGTGGTGAGCAGAGCGATGCACGTAGACAGCACGCGGGTACGTGTGTCTGTGTCACTTGTGAGAGGTCTCATAATCGGTGGGAAGGGGGCTCACAAGGCTGGGCACGTAGACAGCAGGCGGGCCGGTGATGTTGCTGGCCAGGTCAGCACCAGAGACGCCCCACCGGTTCTCCTCGCGCGCCGAGTACACCTGCAAGTCACGACCAATGCCATGGGTGGGGCATGGGGCATGGGGCATGGGGCATGGGGCATGGGGGATGAGGGATGAGTCTAAGGATGCCTCACAATTTGCTGGACCAGCCCCAGTGATGCTTGTTCCGCAGAAAGCACATGTGCAGGCATGGCATGTGAGATGATTCCTGAGAACTCCACAAATCATTGCACAAGCCCCACTAGCTCTTGTTCCGAGCTGCGCAGTGTACATTTGAGATGCGCATGCGAATGCGGTGTGTGGGACGGGAGGGCTGGCATTTGAAAGGGATGGCATTTGAAAGGGATGGCATTTGAAAGGGATGGCATTTGAAAGGGATGGCATTTGAAAGGGATGGCATTTGAAAGGGATGGCATTTGAAAGGGATGGCATTTGAAAGGGATGGCATTTGAAAGGGATGGCATTTGAAAGGGATGGCATTTGAAAGGGATGGCATTTGAAAGGGATGGCATTTGAAAGGGATGGCATTTGAAAGGGATGGCATTTGAAAGGGATGGCATTTGAAAGGGATGGCATTTGAAAGGGATGGCATTTGAAAGGGATGGCATTTGAAAGGGATGGCATTTGAAAGGGATGGCATTTGAAAGGGATGGCATTTGAAAGGGATGGCATTTGAAAGGGATGGCATTTGAAAGGGATGGCATTTGAAAGGGATGGCATTTGAAAGGGATGGCATTTGAAAGGGATGGCATTTGAAAGGGATGGCATTTGAAAGGGATGGCATTTGAAAGGGATGGCATTTGAAAGGGATGGCATTTGAAAGGGATGGCATTTGAAAGGGATGGCATTTGAAAGGGATGGCATTTGAAAGGGATGGCATTTGAAAGGGATGGCATTTGAAAGGGATGGCATTTGAAAGGGATGGCATTTGAAAGGGATGGCATTTGAAAGGGATGGCATTTGAAAGGGATGGCATTTGAAAGGGATGGCATTTGAAAGGGATGGCATTTGAAAGGGATGGCATTTGAAAGGGATGGCATTTGAAAGGGATGGCATTTGAAAGGGATGGCATTTGAAAGGGATGGCATTTGAAAGGGATGGCATTTGAAAGGGATGGCATTTGAAAGGGATGGCATTTGAAAGGGATGGCATTTGAAAGGGATGGCATTTGAAAGGGATGGCATTTGAAAGGGATGGCATTTGAAAGGGATGGCATTTGAAAGGGATGGCATTTGAAAGGGATGGCATTTGAAAGGGATGGCATTTGAAAGGGATGGCATTTGAAAGGGATGGCATTTGAAAGGGATGGCATTTGAAAGGGATGGCATTTGAAAGGGATGGCATTTGAAAGGGATGGCATTTGAAAGGGATGGCATTTGAAAGGGATGGCATTTGAAAGGGATGGCATTTGAAAGGGATGGCATTTGAAAGGGATGGCATTTGAAAGGGATGGCATTTGAAAGGGATGGCATTTGAAAGGGATGGCATTTGAAAGGGATGGCATTTGAAAGGGATGGCATTTGAAAGGGATGGCATTTGAAAGGGATGGCATTTGAAAGGGATGGCATTTGAAAGGGATGGCATTTGAAAGGGATGGCATTTGAAAGGGATGGCATTTGAAAGGGATGGCATTTGAAAGGGATGGCATTTGAAAGGGATGGCATTTGAAAGGGATGGCATTTGAAAGGGATGGCATTTGAAAGGGATGGCATTTGAAAGGGATGGCATTTGAAAGGGATGGCATTTGAAAGGGATGGCATTTGAAAGGGATGGCATTTGAAAGGGATGGCATTTGAAAGGGATGGCATTTGAAAGGGATGGCATTTGAAAGGGATGGCATTTGAAAGGGATGGCATTTGAAAGGGATGGCATTTGAAAGGGATGGCATTTGAAAGGGATGGCATTTGAAAGGGATGGCATTTGAAAGGGATGGCATTTGAAAGGGATGGCATTTGAAAGGGATGGCATTTGAAAGGGATGGCATTTGAAAGGGATGGCATTTGAAAGGGATGGCATTTGAAAGGGATGGCATTTGAAAGGGATGGCATTTGAAAGGGATGGCATTTGAAAGGGATGGCATTTGAAAGGGATGGCATTTGAAAGGGATGGCATTTGAAAGGGATGGCATTTGAAAGGGATGGCATTTGAAAGGGATGGCATTTGAAAGGGATGGCATTTGAAAGGGATGGCATTTGAAAGGGATGGCATTTGAAAGGGATGGCATTTGAAAGGGATGGCATTTGAAAGGGATGGCATTTGAAAGGGATGGCATTTGAAAGGGATGGCATTTGAAAGGGATGGCATTTGAAAGGGATGGCATTTGAAAGGGATGGCATTTGAAAGGGATGGCATTTGAAAGGGATGGCATTTGAAAGGGATGGCATTTGAAAGGGATGGCATTTGAAAGGGATGGCATTTGAAAGGGATGGCATTTGAAAGGGATGGCATTTGAAAGGGATGGCATTTGAAAGGGATGGCATTTGAAAGGGATGGCATTTGAAAGGGATGGCATTTGAAAGGGATGGCATTTGAAAGGGATGGCATTTGAAAGGGATGGCATTTGAAAGGGATGGCATTTGAAAGGGATGGCATTTGAAAGGGATGGCATTTGAAAGGGATGGCATTTGAAAGGGATGGCATTTGAAAGGGATGGCATTTGAAAGGGATGGCATTTGAAAGGGATGGCATTTGAAAGGGATGGCATTTGAAAGGGATGGCATTTGAAAGGGATGGCATTTGAAAGGGATGGCATTTGAAAGGGATGGCATTTGAAAGGGATGGCATTTGAAAGGGATGGCATTTGAAAGGGATGGCATTTGAAAGGGATGGCATTTGAAAGGGATGGCATTTGAAAGGGATGGCATTTGAAAGGGATGGCATTTGAAAGGGATGGCATTTGAAAGGGATGGCATTTGAAAGGGATGGCATTTGAAAGGGATGGCATTTGAAAGGGATGGCATTTGAAAGGGATGGCATTTGAAAGGGATGGCATTTGAAAGGGATGGCATTTGAAAGGGATGGCATTTGAAAGGGATGGCATTTGAAAGGGATGGCATTTGAAAGGGATGGCATTTGAAAGGGATGGCATTTGAAAGGGATGCACGCCGTGGTGGTGGGCAGACGAACTGGTGCATTCAGACAGTGCTTCAACCTTCACGCACACGGTACGTGAGAGCACACACGCAGCTGCTCGAGCCCACCTGTGCTCACCCACACGGTACTGAGATGTGGTGGTGGGGACCGCCCAAGGGATCACAAGTGCGGCTCACTGCTCTGCTCCCATGCAATGCAGCCCACCCAAGCACCATTTGTGTGCTTGTGTGTGCGGATGTGTGGGTGTGGGTGAGTCATGGGCAAGTGTGGCATGGCAGTGGGCCCAACCTGAGTGACGATGACGCGGTCTGCTGCACTGAAGGAAGGGGCAAAGTCATCCATGAACTGAGCCAGCCGACTGCGAGCCACACAATGGACGTAGGGAGACGGGAACGGGAGGTTGACGGGAAAATCAAGGTGGTTGGAAGTGCGAAAACGCGCGGGGCGGGCGGACAGGCAGCAAGCACGCTGCAGGACGGGAGCAAGGCATGTGGAGGTGCGTGGCAGGAGTGAGAGGTGCGGGGGGCACCTGAAGGTGTGTGGCTGGAAGACCACCCATATGGGCTGCTCGTCGTATCTCTGCCTCGCTGCCTGCAGCACCGCCCGCACCTGCCCATGGGAAGCGAAAGACAGGAAGCGAGGGAGGAAGAAGCGAAAGGTGAGAGGGGATGGTTAGAGAAGAGGATGGCAAGAGAAGAGGATGGCAAGAGAAGAGGATGGCAAGAGAAGAGGATGGCAAGAGAAGAGGATGGCAAGAGAAGAGGATGGCAAGAGAAGAGGATGGCAAGAGAAGAGGATGGCAAGAGAAGAGGATGGCAAGAGAAGAGGATGGCAAGAGAAGAGGATGGCAAGAGAAGAGGATGGCAAGAGAAGAGGATGGCAAGAGAAGAGGATGGCAAGAGAAGAGGATGGCAAGAGAAGAGGATGGCAAGAGAAGAGGATGGCAAGAGAAGAGGATGGCAAGAGAAGAGGATGGCAAGAGAAGAGGATGGCAAGAGAAGAGGATGGCAAGAGAAGAGGATGGCAAGAGAAGAGGATGGCAAGAGAAGAGGATGGCAAGAGAAGAGGATGGCAAGAGAAGAGGATGGCAAGAGAAGAGGATGGCAAGAGAAGAGGATGGCAAGAGAAGAGGATGGCAAGAGAAGAGGATGGCAAGAGAAGAGGATGGCAAGAGAAGAGGATGGCAAGAGAAGAGGATGGCAAGAGAAGAGGATGGCAAGAGAAGAGGATGGCAAGAGAAGAGGATGGCAAGAGAAGAGGATGGCAAGAGAAGAGGATGGCAAGAGAAGAGGATGGCAAGAGAAGAGGATGGCAAGAGAAGAGGATGGCAAGAGAAGAGGATGGCAAGAGAAGAGGATGGCAAGAGAAGAGGATGGCAAGAGAAGAGGATGGCAAGAGAAGAGGATGGCAAGAGAAGAGGATGGCAAGAGAAGAGGATGGCAAGAGAAGAGGATGGCAAGAGAAGAGGATGGCAAGAGAAGAGGATGGCAAGAGAAGAGGATGGCAAGAGAAGAGGATGGCAAGAGAAGAGGATGGCAAGAGAAGAGGATGGCAAGAGAAGAGGATGGCAAGAGAAGAGGATGGCAAGAGAAGAGGATGGCAAGAGAAGAGGATGGCAAGAGAAGAGGATGGCAAGAGAAGAGGATGGCAAGAGAAGAGGATGGCAAGAGAAGAGGATGGCAAGAGAAGAGGATGGCAAGAGAAGAGGATGGCAAGAGAAGAGGATGGCAAGAGAAGAGGATGGCAAGAGAAGAGGATGGCAAGAGAAGAGGATGGCAAGAGAAGAGGATGGCAAGAGAAGAGGATGGCAAGAGAAGAGGATGGCAAGAGAAGAGGATGGCAAGAGAAGAGGATGGCAAGAGAAGAGGATGGCAAGAGAAGAGGATGGCAAGAGAAGAGGATGGCAAGAGAAGAGGATGGCAAGAGAAGAGGATGGCAAGAGAAGAGGATGGCAAGAGAAGAGGATGGCAAGAGAAGAGGATGGCAAGAGAAGAGGATGGCAAGAGAAGAGGATGGCAAGAGAAGAGGATGGCAAGAGAAGAGGATGGCAAGAGAAGAGGATGGCAAGAGAAGAGGATGGCAAGAGAAGAGGATGGCAAGAGAAGAGGATGGCAAGAGAAGAGGATGGCAAGAGAAGAGGATGGCAAGAGAAGAGGATGGCAAGAGAAGAGGATGGCAAGAGAAGAGGATGGCAAGAGAAGAGGATGGCAAGAGAAGAGGATGGCAAGAGAAGAGGATGGCAAGAGAAGAGGATGGCAAGAGAAGAGGATGGCAAGAGAAGAGGATGGCAAGAGAAGAGGATGGCAAGAGAAGAGGATGGCAAGAGAAGAGGATGGCAAGAGAAGAGGATGGCAAGAGAAGAGGATGGCAAGAGAAGAGGATGGCAAGAGAAGAGGATGGCAAGAGAAGAGGATGGCAAGAGAAGAGGATGGCAAGAGAAGAGGATGGCAAGAGAAGAGGATGGCAAGAGAAGAGGATGGCAAGAGAAGAGGATGGCAAGAGAAGAGGATGGCAAGAGAAGAGGATGGCAAGAGAAGAGGATGGCAAGAGAAGAGGATGGCAAGAGAAGAGGATGGCAAGAGAAGAGGATGGCAAGAGAAGAGGATGGCAAGAGAAGAGGATGGCAAGAGAAGAGGATGGCAAGAGAAGAGGATGGCAAGAGAAGAGGATGGCAAGAGAAGAGGATGGCAAGAGAAGAGGATGGCAAGAGAAGAGGATGGCAAGAGAAGAGGATGGCAAGAGAAGAGGATGGCAAGAGAAGAGGATGGCAAGAGAAGAGGATGGCAAGAGAAGAGGATGGCAAGAGAAGAGGATGGCAAGAGAAGAGGATGGCAAGAGAAGAGGATGGCAAGAGAAGAGGATGGCAAGAGAAGAGGATGGCAAGAGAAGAGGATGGCAAGAGAAGAGGATGGCAAGAGAAGAGGATGGCAAGAGAAGAGGATGGCAAGAGAAGAGGATGGCAAGAGAAGAGGATGGCAAGAGAAGAGGATGGCAAGAGAAGAGGATGGCAAGAGAAGAGGATGGCAAGAGAAGAGGATGGCAAGAGAAGAGGATGGCAAGAGAAGAGGATGGCAAGAGAAGAGGATGGCAAGAGAAGAGGATGGCAAGAGAAGAGGATGGCAAGAGAAGAGGATGGCAAGAGAAGAGGATGGCAAGAGAAGAGGATGGCAAGAGAAGAGGATGGCAAGAGAAGAGGATGGCAAGAGAAGAGGATGGCAAGAGAAGAGGATGGCAAGAGAAGAGGATGGCAAGAGAAGAGGATGGCAAGAGAAGAGGATGGCAAGAGAAGAGGATGGCAAGAGAAGAGGATGGCAAGAGAAGAGGATGGCAAGAGAAGAGGATGGCAAGAGAAGAGGATGGCAAGAGAAGAGGATGGCAAGAGAAGAGGATGGCAAGAGAAGAGGATGGCAAGAGAAGAGGATGGCAAGAGAAGAGGATGGCAAGAGAAGAGGATGGCAAGAGAAGAGGATGGCAAGAGAAGAGGATGGCAAGAGAAGAGGATGGCAAGAGAAGAGGATGGCAAGAGAAGAGGATGGCAAGAGAAGAGGATGGCAAGAGAAGAGGATGGCAAGAGAAGAGGATGGCAAGAGAAGAGGATGGCAAGAGAAGAGGATGGCAAGAGAAGAGGATGGCAAGAGAAGAGGATGGCAAGAGAAGAGGATGGCAAGAGAAGAGGATGGCAAGAGAAGAGGATGGCAAGAGAAGAGGATGGCAAGAGAAGAGGATGGCAAGAGAAGAGGATGGCAAGAGAAGAGGATGGCAAGAGAAGAGGATGGCAAGAGAAGAGGATGGCAAGAGAAGAGGATGGCAAGAGAAGAGGATGGCAAGAGAAGAGGATGGCAAGAGAAGAGGATGGCAAGAGAAGAGGATGGCAAGAGAAGAGGATGGCAAGAGAAGAGGATGGCAAGAGAAGAGGATGGCAAGAGAAGAGGATGGCAAGAGAAGAGGATGGCAAGAGAAGAGGATGGCAAGAGAAGAGGATGGCAAGAGAAGAGGATGGCAAGAGAAGAGGATGGCAAGAGAAGAGGATGGCAAGAGAAGAGGATGGCAAGAGAAGAGGATGGCAAGAGAAGAGGATGGCAAGAGAAGAGGATGGCAAGAGAAGAGGATGGCAAGAGAAGAGGATGGCAAGAGAAGAGGATGGCAAGAGAAGAGGATGGCAAGAGAAGAGGATGGCAAGAGAAGAGGATGGCAAGAGAAGAGGATGGCAAGAGAAGAGGATGGCAAGAGAAGAGGATGGCAAGAGAAGAGGATGGCAAGAGAAGAGGATGGCAAGAGAAGAGGATGGCAAGAGAAGAGGATGGCAAGAGAAGAGGATGGCAAGAGAAGAGGATGGCAAGAGAAGAGGATGGCAAGAGAAGAGGATGGCAAGAGAAGAGGATGGCAAGAGAAGAGGATGGCAAGAGAAGAGGATGGCAAGAGAAGAGGATGGCAAGAGAAGAGGATGGCAAGAGAAGAGGATGGCAAGAGAAGAGGATGGCAAGAGAAGAGGATGGCAAGAGAAGAGGATGGCAAGAGAAGAGGATGGCAAGAGAAGAGGATGGCAAGAGAAGAGGATGGCAAGAGAAGAGGATGGCAAGAGAAGAGGATGGCAAGAGAAGAGGATGGCAAGAGAAGAGGATGGCAAGAGAAGAGGATGGCAAGAGAAGAGGATGGCAAGAGAAGAGGATGGCAAGAGAAGAGGATGGCAAGAGAAGAGGATGGCAAGAGAAGAGGATGGCAAGAGAAGAGGATGGCAAGAGAAGAGGATGGCAAGAGAAGAGGATGGCAAGAGAAGAGGATGGCAAGAGAAGAGGATGGCAAGAGAAGAGGATGGCAAGAGAAGAGGATGGCAAGAGAAGAGGATGGCAAGAGAAGAGGATGGCAAGAGAAGAGGATGGCAAGAGAAGAGGATGGCAAGAGAAGAGGATGGCAAGAGAAGAGGATGGCAAGAGAAGAGGATGGCAAGAGAAGAGGATGGCAAGAGAAGAGGATGGCAAGAGAAGAGGATGGCAAGAGAAGAGGATGGCAAGAGAAGAGGATGGCAAGAGAAGAGGATGGCAAGAGAAGAGGATGGCAAGAGAAGAGGATGGCAAGAGAAGAGGATGGCAAGAGAAGAGGATGGCAAGAGAAGAGGATGGCAAGAGAAGAGGATGGCAAGAGAAGAGGATGGCAAGAGAAGAGGATGGCAAGAGAAGAGGATGGCAAGAGAAGAGGATGGCAAGAGAAGAGGATGGCAAGAGAAGAGGATGGCAAGAGAAGAGGATGGCAAGAGAAGAGGATGGCAAGAGAAGAGGATGGCAAGAGAAGAGGATGGCAAGAGAAGAGGATGGCAAGAGAAGAGGATGGCAAGAGAAGAGGATGGCAAGAGAAGAGGATGGCAAGAGAAGAGGATGGCAAGAGAAGAGGATGGCAAGAGAAGAGGATGGCAAGAGAAGAGGATGGCAAGAGAAGAGGATGGCAAGAGAAGAGGATGGCAAGAGAAGAGGATGGCAAGAGAAGAGGATGGCAAGAGAAGAGGATGGCAAGAGAAGAGGATGGCAAGAGAAGAGGATGGCAAGAGAAGAGGATGGCAAGAGAAGAGGATGGCAAGAGAAGAGGATGGCAAGAGAAGAGGATGGCAAGAGAAG